AGTTACCAAAGTGCATAGCAACCTTAGAGACTAAGTGTGATTGATTTTCATCAATAAATATGTAGTCTAAACATGTTGCCATTATGTTACCACCTTGTGTTTTTTGGTGAAATGTGAGAAAGGACTTAGAGCCTGCAATTTCTGCAGTGTTTGAAAAATTTCTTGTTAAATCTAACAGTTGGTTCTTTGATGGGTCTGGCTGAGGTGCTGCTTGACTTATTCTGTTTGCTTCAGGTTTTAGGTTTATATTGAAGTTTCTTGCTATAATGTTTATTGTGTTTTCTTTTATTAAAGGAGTCCAGTTGTCAAAAAATGTTACTCTGTTGCTAATGTTCAGAGGTGCATACATATTAGTAATATGAAATAAGAGACCTTTGTAGACAAATGATGCTGTAATAACTCATTCATCATTGTTTACTTTCATATTTTTAAAAATAATATTTCTGTTTCTAGTCAGAATTGCCACTTTGTCTGACCAGAATAAGTCAAATATCTATTGGTGTTTTAAAAAGTTTCTAGTGTTTTCATTGTTAAAATTAGTTTCTTGTATCATTATTAAATCTAAATTGTAGGATTTTAAGAGTGTTAATGTTTTTTGCTGTTTGCCTCAGTTTTACATTCAAAGTTGTGATTTTAAGTTTGAATTTTGAAGGCATATAAATATACAAGAATTTTGACCAATTAGGTCTGTGAGAACAGTCCCTCATTACATTGTTTCCTGTAAGGGCTAGGCCTTAATTGGTTCTTATTCTGTAAGCTCTTTCCTTTTTTATCTTTGTCTTTTTTATAAGATGGCATAGGGGTCTCCTTATTGTCAACTTCCATTATAGGTGATGTTTCTTCTATGTTTTTGTTTCCTGCCTGTGGTTCTGCATTAAGATACAGTGCAGCCAGTTTATCACGTAGTGCTGATATTGGGTCAGGTAAGAGGTCCTTATCTTTGCTTGGTGTAAAGTTTCTTTTAACATTGTCTATTTCCATTGAAGGTAACAAAAGTCTCTTTTGTTTATCTTGTGTTAAATCATTTTCTTGTAAACCCACACCATCTATGATAGATGCATCATCTTGCAAGTATGGGTTTTCTTCTTTGTTAGCAGAACTATCTGTATAGGGTTCTTGTTCTGGCCTGATATTAGCTGATTTTTCTTTGCTATATGATCCAATTCTTTTTTTAAAGTCTTGATATTGTTGGTGAAGAGCTACAGATTCCTGAAATAGCTGGCATTCCTTTTTAATATGCCCTTCTTTTTTACAGAAGTAACATACTTTTGCTGCTGCCTTCTATTCTGTTGTGATCTTGTTATCCCAAATATAGGTAAATCTTGGTATTTTTGCCTTCTAAAAATAGATCCTCTGTGGTCTCGAAAATTATAACCCACTGATCTATTAGGTATAGTGTACCTTCAATTAACAGGATTTAATTGATGCTATTTTACCTATATTCTCAAAAGCATTTTTAATTGAGTCTGACAGTTCTTCTTTGTTGCCTAGTAGAATATTCCTAATTTTGACTGGCAAGAATAATTTTCTTATATCCATTGAAATGTATCCAAAATATGTTCTGTTGAAAATTTTAACATCTTTTGTTGCATAGATTTTTAGTTTTTCTTTGTCTGTAAAGATAATTTCTAAATGTGATCGTGTTTCTTTAGTAAGATGTTGTTTAGCTATGATGATGTCATTTTTAACCATTTGGAATAAAGATAACATAATTTCGTTAAAAGAGCATCATAAGCTTTGTATATCAATAATAAGAGCATTTTCATTCTTTGATTTAATTGTGTTTCTAGGAGAAAAGGATGAGTAAGTTGACTGGCCTCTTTTAAGTTTGTGACTATTTTTTTGTTAGTGGTTTGGTTATTCTACTGGAGCTAGAAGTTGTATTCCCTTCCAAAATAGAGTCCTCTTGTTCATTCTTTGATTCATTTTGAGTTGTTGTTTCCATGTTGTTTGTGTTATCTGTGCTAGTTTCAGAGACCTCTTTGTCATATGTTGTTATTTGGATGTTATCTTCATTACGTGTACTAGTTTCAAAGACCTCTTCATTATATGTATTGACTTCAATAACCTCTTCATTATATATAGAAGTATTGTTGTTTTGTTCTAAAAGTGTTTCTATGTTGTCATTTCTTTTTACTGATGAAATTTTCTTTTTTGTTATATATGTTCTATTTTCTTTAAGTTCTTCTTTCTGTGTATTTATTATTTCCTTGAGTTCCTTAGTTTCTTAAGCTACTTGTTCATTCTAGCTAGGGTTGCTTTTGTTGATATGTTTTAGTGAACCTGAGTTATTGCCTTCTACTTGTATAGGCTTCTCATTTTTGGTGTTTTCCTTATTAGTATTTGTTGTTGTTTTTTGTTTTTTTTGCTATAATGCCAAAGCTTTTTGTATTATTAAAAGCTTTAAAAGATCTTTTTCTTGTAACAAGGGCAAGTGCTCTTGCTTTGAACTCTTTTTTAAGATTGGTTGTCTTGTTGTTGTAGTTTATTTTCCTGTTTAGTTTCATTCCACTTCCAAACACATATGGTCTGAAAAGAGTGTATGCAGATCTATCATTAATACTTTATACTTTATTAACTTTCTATATGACATTTTGAATGTTTCTTTTTCTATCAAACTATGTACAGTTTTATCTATACTATAAATTTGCCAAAGATCATCTTCTTCCTTTACTGTTATACTTATTTCTTTTGCTTTAAATATAACTAGACATGTCAAATTATTTTTTAATATCAATTCTGCCAGTTTATCAATCTAATCTAGCTTATTTAGTCTTCTTTGTACTAATATCAACTAATTATTAAATATTTCTTGATTTAATATTCTACACCTTTCTAAATCTTGATGCATAATTGCACTATTTTTTGTGGTTAATAATAGCTCTACTTTGTTCTTGATCAATTTACTTACTAGTTGATATAAACAAATTAGCTGCCCTTTAGATGCCTTTATAGTTTGCAACATATATATCAATTTTGGTATTATACATATATTATTAATATATATTAACTGACTGATAGTTAACTTCATAAACTGTATGATTCTTTTTGCCTTTTTAACAACTAAGCTTTCATTTACTTCTATATTTAACTACACTTCTAGCATTCTTATTAATACATACTTGTCTTTAACCTATAGTGAAAATTGTTAATCAGAACAGACTTCTTTTTTTTTTTTGTACCTGAGTTAATTACCAACAGCTTTGACTTAGAACTATTGATTTGAATATCATTGAATCTAAAGAACCTTTGTGAAATCTGAATGATTTTTTGCATCTTCTCTCTACTCTTTGTTATCCAAGTTGTATCATCAGCATATGCTACTACAGCTTGCTTTGCTTTTCTAATTTTAACTCTGTTTATTTGCAAGTTCAGCATTTTATATGCTTTGATTTTATAATCTAACTACTAATTATCTTAAATTCTTCTTAATAATAGGTTGTAAAAATAATAATTTATTTATTTAAATATAATTTATATATGTAATATAATCTAATTTTTAAATTATAATTTATTAGGTTTTTTTAGAATGTTGGGCATATAGACTTAATCTTTGAATAAAGGATATTATTAACTTAAAGTAAACATGTCAAATTATACAATCTATAAAAAAAATTCTTAATTATTTTCAAAATTATCATATAAGCTTAGCAATATTATATCAAATTCAAATAGAAGTTTATAATAATCATATATCTTTATTATTTTCTGAAGATACTTGATAGAGATCTGTATTTTATTCAGCAAAAAATCTTCTAAAAACCAAGATAGCTATTCAAAGAATAATATTAAAAGATAATATTAAAATTTCTGATAAAATTAAAATTTTAATTTTATTAGATAATTTTTAGTTTAATCTTAAAATTCTTTGTAATTTTTTTCACTTTTTGCTATTTTTTTAAAAAAGTTACAAACTGATCAACCTACTCTTTCAACTGTTTATTCAAAGTTATTTAAACTATAAATCTCTATTTTTGAAAATACTGAAATTTCAAATGACTTTAAAACTAATTCAATCAGTAAAAAAACAGAATGATAGAATAACTTTCTTTATAATCTGATAATTATATTAGTATACAAACTCAATTCTCAATATCAAAAAAAAACTTTAAATCTAAAAAAATAGAATTCAATTATTGAAGATTAATTAATATGATTAGTATCAAATCAAGATCAAAAAATTATATTAAATGAATATGCAGATTATTTTTCCAAAAAAGAACATTTTGCATAACTATATTTATGGAATTCTAATCTTGTACAAAATTCAATTAATTGGTAAGGTTTATTGAAAGGTAGATATCCTATATTAAGTAAGATTGCTTTACACATATTATCAATACCACCTATTTTAGCAGTTTGTAAAAGAAATTGGTCAACTTTTGACTTTATACATAATAAACTGCATAATAGACTTAATGATCCAAAAGTAGAAAAATGTGTTTATATTTAATGAAACTTACAAATTTTAAGAAATTTGAATCGAATAGATGAATTAAATAAAAATATAGATTTTGTTAAAGATTTGATAATAGATAATGAAAATTTAGAAGAAAATGTATTTGATAATTTATTTTCAGACAATAAGTTAATTACATATAATAAAAAGGGATGCATAGATATTAGTAATGATTCATAATTAAAATTAAAAGAACATTCTTTGTCAAAAGTGTAAGTATAAATAATTAAGATAAAATATTGAATAAAAATAAAAAGTTAAATATTAACTAATAATAATTTACAGACACAAAGAAATTATTTTGCTTGCTTATTTGCTTGGATATTATAATCAGGGTTGGCATAGACCGGTCAATGGTCAAGCTTGACCAGACCAGTTTGACCAATTTGACCAGTTGGTCAAAAAGTTTAGTATTGGTCAAATTGGTCAAATTGATCAAATAATATATAAAGTATATAAATATATTTGTTTATTTATTTGTATATTAAAATTATTTATTTAATAGACTAGACCATTTGACCAATTTGACCAGACCATTTGACCAATTTGACCAGACCAGTTCGACCAACAAATTTTTGGTCGACCAGTGATTTGACCAACTCTGATTATAATAGAATTGGAAAAACAAAATATTAGTTGTCAAAAACTTGTGTTATAAAGAAACTGGACAAAATTGCAAATTATCGAATTGATAAATTAACAATTGTTAAAATTATTTGTTTCGGTGTAAAATTAAAAAATTTAGCCTACAAGGTAATGCTACTATAAAATAGCATTTATAGTGTAACTTTATAACGATAAACGAAAATTTTGATTTGTTATACAAGATCTTAAAATCTTGTTGATTTTGAACTAAATATGTTGTACGAAACTTACAGTAAGTTACCGGTAAGTTACCATTTTGGTAACTTACTATAAATTACCGTAATTTTACAACCCTGACTGCAGGCCAGAGCGGACCTAAAATTTTTAATAAATTTGCGCTGAAGAAAAAATTTATATATATGCGGGCCGGGCTGGCAAAAAAATTTTAAAGCTAAGTGCGGGCCGGGCCGGCAAAAAATTTTAAAACTAAGTGTGGGCCCTGGCCTTATCTAAAGATTTTTTTTATAAATCTAAATTATTTAAAGAGAAATTCTATTTTGACCCGGGTCAAAATAACCCAACAGGTGATATTTTTTGTGTTGCATAACACAAACTTTTATATAATATAAAAATACCCTGTCGGGTCAGTTTGACCCGGGTCAAAATAGAATTTCCCTTATTTAAAATTATAATTCTGAATTGTGGTGATAAGCGAAGCAAAGCAGGATAATTATCTATATACTATATATATTATCCCGTGACTGATGACACCCGACTAAGGTTGCAAATTTTTGGGCAGATGTGACTTCAGTTTAGTGTCAACTTCAGTCACGATAGTTACTAAGAACGCTATATAATACACCTTTATTTTGACTGCCTTGCGGATCAATCTCGTGTAACAATTGGATACATAATAGGGAATTAATTCGAAGTTTTATTTTGGACGTGAAAATACTTTAATATAAATTTATTTAACGATCCTGCTTAATCGTTAAATCACATTTGGATCTTAATTTGAAAATGAAAATGAAATTTTAATCATCAATAGCATTGATTTAATAAAATTTGACCGGTTTTTTTTAAGTTGGTTTTGGTTATTATCCCATATTAAGTAAAAATCCAGATTCCATAAATCCAGACTACGTATGATGTCATCATTCAACAAAGGTTTGGGTCGCAACAAATAATTGTAATACAAAAGCTGGCCATCATTATTTTTCCGGAGAATCAAATTTAAGGTCTTTATATTCCCCGTCTTTAAATTGTCTTGACCACTATTATGATAAAAAAATTATATGCCCATAAAACCCATAAACTTAATGCCTGCCTGTATTCTCGAAAGAAAATGAAATATATGGCATACCATCATCGAGGGAATCCATCGATTAGGTTTGTTATGTCGCCACTATGAAGTAATTATATTATCATATCAAAGGTGATCGTTCGTTTGGTGCATAATCAATGAATTTACCTCTTTTTCTGCTGATATCTTCCAAATAACTCCAACAATTACAGAAATTCCCGCGATAGTAATGGCTGTATTACTTTTCCAATTTGCTGGTCTAGTCCACCAACCGCCAGCTATAAAGAATTTAATTTATAGTTTAATAGATTTAAGGGAAAATAAATTTATAATCAATGCATACATGGAGTCCTAAGTGTTGGACATCAGTGAAAAAAAATCATTAATAAAAACAGACTAAAGTATCATTTGATGGGGAAAATTGACATACCAAACCTCCTTAGGATACGGATACCGTTTTGCACCGCCCTATATTAGAATATTAAAGAATTTCACAGACTTGAAATTAAAAATAACAATGTTTACTAAAGTAATAAATAAAGTACCATTGTATTTATTATAAAAAAAATTTATTTTGAGAACAAATGCTTTTTTTATTTAAAAAGATTAGGTTGATCGTGATTATCAACAGACTCGTGACGTTTAAATTATAAAATCAATACTGCAATAACGATAACCGATAATTCGTTTATTTTTTCAGATATTCTACAACTAAATGATGGCACCGACGCTTGAAGATGTTGCAAAACCACAGAGCATGCCTAGTGGTCCGCGAAACGTACTTCGATCCAATGACTCTGCAAGTCTTTGGAATTGTACTCTCTCACCAGGTACGATATAGCCGCTTAAATTTTAGTACAGAGCTTTTTTACCTATTTTTCTCTTAATCAATAATAGGGTGGTCACGAGAAGAGAGTGATATTTTAAGGAAAGCGCTTATGAAGTTTGGAATCGGCAACTGGGCAAAAATTATCGATTCACAGTGTCTTCCGGGAAAAACTAATGCTCAAATGAATCTACAACTTCAAAGGATGTTGGGACAACAAAGTACGGCAGGTAAAGATATCATACTTTTTAAATATTTACTCATTAACAAATTCACATACTAAAAAGACATTAATACCAGAGTTTGCTGGTTTACACATCGATCCTTTGGTGATAGGAGAAAAAAATTCTAAGATTCAAGGAACAAATATAAAACGCAAAAATAATTGCATTGTCAATACTGGAGGTATAACCATATTTTACATTCAATTATCATTTAAATTACTAACCAAATTTTAATTTAGGAAAGCCTACAAGGGATGAAATCAAACGAAGAATTCAACAAAACAAACAGCTGTAATTTGTTCAACCTATTCAATTATATTATTTAGGTACTTATTTATACAATTATATTTTTTATCACTGATTTGTTTCTATTATAAATAGATATGAAATCTCTGAAGAAGAATGGAACAATATTAAATTGCCAAAACCTGAAGATGTTAGCATTACTTATCGATTATGATTTTGAATTGATCTTGTAAAAAATTTTGACCCGTTATAACTTTGAATCTATTCTTTTTTTTCTGTTGCAGCCACAATCGGGTAAGATCTTCGATTTAATTATATAGCTCTAAATTAAAATTTTTGAATAGTATCCTCGTTCTATAGTATTAGAATCTAAAAATGAAGATCTTCGACGTTTACAACAAGAACTGGAAAGCGTACGAGCACAAATAGCAAATATACGACGTAAACAACAGGAAAAAGCTTGTTTCTAATCAATATTTCATAATAGATTAAGGTTAGAAATAGTTGGTTTGTTTCACCACATAGAATCAAGAAACTATGATCAAATAATAACTATTGGTTTAATTAATAATTGCACACAAGTTTATTGCTTTATTTATTATTTAGATTCTTATTTACTTTTTCCTATGGTCATATATTTTCTTCGTTCTTGTTCAGAAAACTTTTCCAAACTATATCTTAACATTACCCTTGGCATCTTGTGTGCATGTTGATTTAAAAACTCAACAAGGGTTTGCTTTGACTTCTACTAGGTTATGAATTCAATAAGTAATAGGTTCATGGATAGATTGCATAAATAATATGTAAATAAAGTGTAAAGGACACATTACCTTTCCCATCTCCCTTAATGTCCATCCTGTTGCTTTATGTATCAAATCCTCTGTGTCATTTAAAAACATCTCAGCCAGTTTCAGTGTATCATCATATTCACCATTATTAATAAAACATTGTGTAGATACTATTGCAATCCTTCTGTCCCAGAGTCGTTTTGATACCGCTAGTTTCTCATATAACCATAGTCGTTTAATATCAGGTTTATCTTTTAGAAAATCTCCAACGATCTGGTTTGCTGATGAATCAACCAAGTCCCAGTTATTAACTCCTCCTCGCATTTGCTCGATAAAAAATCCAAAAATTTCTCTAAGCTCTGCTGGATCTTGAGTATTTTTAAATTTTGTCACTATATTTATAACTGCTAATAGTCTTTCCTCATGATATTTTGACTGAATAAGCTCTTTTAAAATTGAATATGACAAAAAACCCAGGCTTTTGGATATAGCACGCACATCGGGTACCTTCACGCCCATTAAAATATCGCCTTCTCCATATTCTGCAACACGAAAGTATTTTGTTAGAATGGCAGCTTTTTGCTTGGAAGCTTTGGACTGAAGCTGTGCATGAATTTCAGATAAACTTATTTCTTTTGGTTTTAACTCTATTGACGCGGTTGGCATTAAAGAGACGTTAGATATTGAACGCGCGCGTTTAGTGAGTTTCGGTGCTACCTCAATAGCCGTTCGTTTCAAAGTATTTGCTGTCGAATCTTGACCATCTTGTCGCTCAAGTCTACTACTTCTTGTTTCGACCATATTGACATTACTGTAAAGGGATATCTCGTCTAGTGATTGCTAAGCCTCATAGGCAGAAATTTGTCTGATTGGCTAGCTTCATAGATCTATTTGTAGATCTACATGTGATTATTAGCCAATCAAATCACACAATTTGCAATTCGTGCCGAGTAGCACGTGACATTTCGGGCCGGAAATTGGAAAGCAATTTTTTAAAAGAAATCAAATTTTTTTGCCTAAATCGAGATATTTCAGATTGTTTGCTTCAAGTTACATGAAAAATAAATCACATGAGAATAATTTTATTTGCTCAAGACAAATATTATTATGTGATTAAAATTTATAGTACAGTAGTAAGAGTGTTCTTATTTTGTACCCAAGGTATAAGCAATTTATTTTATATTAGTCTTATTCTATATCATTAAAAATAAGTTTTTGTATTTGGTATTTTTATTTGAATTTTACAAACATGTAAAAAAAATTTTATTGAATTTAGTTAAAGAAACTTATAATTTTTTTGCTTAAAGTTAAAAAAAATTAAACTATATTAAAGTTATACTAAAATATTTTTAAAACTTTAAACAAAAATATTTTAATAATCATTTATCTAATTTTAATAAATTTTTTTTAATTAAATTCTATAGATTTGTAAAATTCAAATAAAAATTTTTTATTAAATTGGTTAAATGATTATTGAAAAATATAGATGCAGACATATGCTAGTGCTGTAATTGATCTTAACATCAATTGGATATAACTCAAAGACATGACAATATGTCAAAAAGCTATAACTAACATTTGCTATAATACTAACATGTGCTATAATATCTAGTGTGTGCAGTAATATCTGATATGTAACATAATACTTGATGTATATCGTAATGTTAAACTCATGCCATCATATTTGACTTATACTATAATATTTTATGTGTACTGTAATATTTAAAAAAAACTTGTGCTATAATATTTAACTCTTATCATAACATTTGACTTGTGTTATAATGGGTTGGAGCAGAAAGAAGACCTTTGAATTATATTCAATAGCATTTTTTTATATTAGATTGATTATAAAAATTAGAAGAAAATATATATATTAGTAAATTTAAAAATGCAGCATAATTCGAATGCCATTTAATATAATGCATTTTTTAAATTTTACTTGTGATATTAACAACAAAAATTCATTAAAGAATAATGATTATTTTTTACAACTTAATAAATGAAATATTTGCATTTCTTTATGAATTATTTATAATTGTTCTATAACTTATAAAAGGTGTTGCTTAAATTAATGAATTTTATTAACTAAAATATTTTTATTTTATTATTAGTACTTAATATGTGTCTTAACATTTTTGATATATATATAATATTTAATATATGCAATAGTATTTACAACACAAAATTGCAAAAATGTTCAAATTTTTCTATAAATTATAAAAAGAACTTTCTTAGTTGTTTTGAATAAATTTATCATAGCCAAACTCTTAAATTTATAAACAAGAACTATATAATTCATATTGCTAATAAACAAAGTTAACTTATTGTTATAATATTGATATACATAATTTCAAAATATTTAAGAATTTTTTTTTTCAAAAATGTGAATTAGTGTACTGAATATTTAAGAATTAACAAAAGCAATTATAAAAAATTGTTTATTTATTGTCACTACTCAGATATATGAAATATATATATTATTTAAATGAAGTTTTCATATCATAACAACTTATGGTTTGTCAAAAAATATTATTCAGCTCAAATTTTAATAATTCAATTAAGTCTGCATGTGATTCTTTAGATCTGTTAGTTATTTAAATCCAATTTACAGTATTAGAAAATAGAAGTTCAAATACAATACTTTAAACTAACCAAAAAATATGTAGTACCTTATTTAAGATGGCATCAACAAGATTTTTAGGATTAAAATCCATACTATTACTGCTTTTGCTATTATTATTATTTGTATCACTTGAGGTATTAGATAAAGTTTCATGTGGTATAATATCTTCTTTCTAAAATATTGGATTCTTTAAATTTACAGTTTCTTCTAAAACCAAATTGGTTCAGAATAACAAATCATCTTTATATATATTATTTTCACTTTCATTTTTCTTATCAACTTTATTTTCGATAAAACTATTAATCAATATGAGATTAACTATCTTATGCAATTCATTTTTAGTTAATTCAATACCAAGATAGTTAAGCTCTTCCTATATATTTGTCATATAGTATGACCTAATTTTTGCCATTTCTTCAAGCTTTTTAATATCAAGATGTATCCATTTATCTCCAATAAACTATTTGAGAATCAAAAAGTTTCTTTCACAGTTGGCCTGAGATGGTGTAATACTAAAGAGGTTCTATGCAAGTTCTGAAAAATGATGTGGTCAGTTTTGAATAGATCCCCATTATAATATTGGAGTATCAAGATCTTGAACATAAGGTAAATCAAAGAGTTTTTTTTTAGCTTCATAATAACAAAACTAAGATATTAATTCTTTACATTCTTGCTCAGAATGCAAAGAATTTTTCTATAAAGTTAAGGCAGTTATAGCAGCATTTTAGAATGCTTCATTCTTAAGCTCTTTCTCTAATATAAAAAAAAAATAATCATATAAAAAAAATTTGCAATTTAGTAATCAGCTATTTTAATTATAATAAAATTCATTTTTATACCATAATAAAATAGATAAAGGTAGTAATATAATAGATAATATGGATACTAAAATTCTTTATATCATCGATTAATACAAAGACCTGATAGATCACAATTGCTAACTTAATTAAATAAATAAAACAATCTGCTAAAGATGCAGTGTGACCTTCTAGGAAATTTATACAAGCTTTGATTAGTTTCCAGATTGATTAAATTTGGTAGCAGGTAATAAAAAAATCATCATCATATAACAAATTAAAAATTTCTAAATCTGTAAATATGTTTGGATGCTCAAGTAACATCTAAAATCTTATTTAGTATTATATAACTATTTATATATATATATGTATAAAAAAAAAGATTATACACCTAGTTAAATATCAGACGAGCAACTAATATAGAGTTTGTAGTACCAAATAATGATCCCCAATAGGTTGGGCACTATGGTTCTATACCTTTAAATTTAATTTTTATACTTGTTAGACCTTACTACAATAATACCAATTTTTGAGAAGATTTGGTAAAAAACTTTATTAATTTTCTATAGCAATTAATAAATGCTTTTATTTCAACAATTTTAGTTAAATCTGTAGCAATTAAATTAAAAGCATGGGCAATACAACGAATGTTCAAGATATGTGAATATTTATATTAAACTTTTTCTCTTACAAGTTTACAATTAGAGGCTGAATCTGTAACAATTGTTGTGAATTTTTTGGAACCAATTTGTTCAATAATACTTAAAATTTCTGATGCCAAAAAATTACCAGTATGAGATTCTAAAGAATAATTTTTTAAGATGATCAAATATTCTTTTCACTCCATCATTGTTACAATATAATTGAATATAGAATCTCCATGTTTTGAAGTCCAGCCATCAAAAGCTATAATAAAAAAATATTATTATTACATATCAAATATATATAAACTTTTAAAATATATATTTAGAATCAATTCTTGTTTAATCAATTTGACTTATTTCAAGATTTATATATTAATTGTGAATTCATTAAATATCTATTATAGTGCACTTACTAAAATATATCTATCCCTTTTTTAATACCTTCGTGTAGAATACCCTAGTGCAAAACATAAGATTCCAATTAATTAAATATGGGTTTTTTTAAATGCAGAATATGCATATATTTAAATGTTTCTTTCTTGCAATACAAACTTACTACAATATTATGTACCAAGTCTTTTTTAAGTTATTTGATGGGTATTTTGTATTAGACCCTGGATCATTTGATCAGTGCACTATGTTATATTCATTATATTTACTATTTAAGCATAGGGCTACAAATTAATATTCTATTATGATTAACAAAAGCATATTAGTAATAATAATATTCTGATCCATTGAGGATTAGCAGAAACAACATTTTCATTTATTCATATATAGTCAGAGTATTATTAATTAATCCTTCTGTGATCTTGATATAGTGATCAGGAGATTATATAAATAACAAACCTGATACGTATATGGGAATTATTGTGCAATTAATTATATTAAAATTTTTTTAAATAAATATTTTTAAGAACAACTCAGTTCTCAAAACATTCTAATGCTATAATTTTAAACCTTGATTCAACTAAGAATTGATTCTGAATAATTATAATATAAAACCAATTTACTTAAGGTTAGATACTCTGCATTCTTTAACTCGTTATCAATAAAATTTTGCACATATGCAAATTCTTTATCTAATAATCATCTTGACAATGTTGTATGTAATGGCAAGATATTGTAATAAAATTTACTAAAAACTATCAAGCTGTAGCAAATTTTAAAGTGATGAAGGTCGAGTGGAAGAT